GCTAATGAGCGGCCGGATTACCATTTTTACGATTGCCAGCTCGATCGGGGGAAGCGGCGGAGCTGGGGGGCGCGGGGGGTGGGGAGAAAGCAAGGGGGGGCATTTGTTATTTATGGCCCACGGCTTGCGACCTGCTCAGTTTCGGGGGGCTCCGCGAAGCCTCCGAAGACGTTAAAACTAAACCAATAACATAAAAAAATCTTGGTTCTCATAAGCCCCCCCTCCCCAACTGGGGGTAGATCCATCGTCCTTGTCCCCAAATCATAGTGTTTATGGTCCTATTTTTAGGGGGTTGCAGTTATATCTAAGCACAGGAGAAGGTCTCTTTTTCCCCACAACAGCCTTGTGAGGTAGGCTGGGCTGAGAACAAGGGACTAGCCCAAAGTCCCCCAGGGAGCTTCCATGGCTGGGGGGTGGGGAGAACCTGGGCCTCCCCACTCCTAGTCCAGCACCAAGAATGACCAAACCAGCATTGCAGTGTTATGCCTCAAGACCTCCCAAGCAAGCAGAAGGCCACCAGGGGCATTGCAGAAGGGTCAGAAAAGTCAAGATGGCACCTGCTTACAAAACATCTCAGCCTCCTCTTCCAAACACTGAGCAAACGGTTGCTCTACCTCCAGGATATCAAACAGGGACACCATTATTTAAGGATGAGGACAAAAAGTGAACTCCAGAGGGAATGGAGGGGCGGGGGGGGGCAAGCTTTTGAACAAGCTGAAACCTTGCCCCCTGTTCCACCACTCTGAACATGGACAGAGGGCAAACTGCCACCAAGATCATCCTTCGAATGTTCGATCTCCCTCTCTCTCTTCATTTTCCTCTCCTTCTCACACTCTTTGCTGGCCCCGGCATGGCCGCCATCTTGACTTTTTTGACCATGCCCTGGGTACCAGCTCCCTTCTGGAGAAGAGCCAAACACACAAAAGGTGGGTGGCATCAGGCCAGGTTAACTCCACAAGGAAGGAGGGAGGAAGAGAGTTCATGCTCCGTCGGAGAATGCCAAGCCAGGCTGCTGTCAAGATTATTAAATGCCCGGGAGCCATTAAGGTTTCTAAGTGCCCAGGAGAATCCCTTAATATCAATTGCAAATGGAAGGAGGGGAGGGGGTGGAAATCTTCACACGTAGCCAGCCGGGGCTCGGGAAAGAATGCTGTTCTTTGCAAAATCGGGGGCTTGTAGGTAGGGAAGGAGTGGGGCAGCCTCCAGCCTTAGTCAGGGGAAGGGGAAAGCATCTGCCCGTGCCCCCCCATGCCATCCACCCTGAGCGCTGGAGGTGAACAGCAGCCGTCTCTCCCATCGAGGGGGTCCACAGCAAAGCAGGGCAGGCCATACCCCACATGATGTCATTGCGTGACCCCCCTTTTCTGTGCCTGCATTATAACAGCATTGCAGCGGGGGAGGGGGGGTGGCTTGCACGGTCAGATGCTGCATAACACATTGGCTTCCTTGCTTGCGGGCCAAAAACAGGCCAGCCACTCAGCGGTTTGGTTTCCGACAGTAATTGCCAATTACCAGCCAAGAACAGACCAGGCTTTTGGCTGACAAGGAGTACTGAAAGCTTCTTCCTCCTCCTCCTCCTCTTCTCCTTCTCTCCTCCTCCTCCTCCTCCTCTTCTTCTTCTCCCTCTCCTCCTCCTCCTCTTCTCCTCCTCCTCCTCCTCCTCCTCCTCC